ACAGCGCCCCCTGGAACGGGCTCCGAAAACTTGGTCCATAAATCAAACACGCTTGCATGGAATAATATGAAACTCGGTACACTTATAGATCTCATCGGTTCATATATACTTCATGCTCTGATTTTTTACCCCAGCCCGACAGGATGTCTGCTATTTAGGGTTGTTTGGAAAACCCATGCTCAGGAATTCGAAATACTCCTCCTAGAGCATTCAAACACACGGCACGAAACTCGGTCAGCATGAAGTCAAGACACTGAGGATGAAAAATTGCCAGGGGATTTTTGATATCTCGAACGCTTTGGCCGTGGCGAGGAAACGAATTTATGGCGAGAAACAAGAAACAGGAAGTGTGTTATAACTTCTGCATACATTGACTGATCTCGATGAAACTTCAGCAGTGTGTCCGCTGTAAGAGACCGATCACATGGATGTGACTATTGTGAGTCAAAGTTATAGCGCCACCAACTGGCAGCAGGAAGTGTGTCACTTTTAAAATGCTTTGAAATCACCCTCTTATTTTTACCCGATTTGCTTCAAACTTTATGTGTATAATGTAGACACTCGCCAGATGTAGACCTGTGAAAGGATTATTAATGTCTTAGATACTGTTGCCATGGCAATGCATCAAACTTTAATATTCTTTTTGGATGCTTTTGAGACTCTTAGCATGCCTGAAATTGCTTAAAATTGCATGAAACTCGACAGACAGATCACATTTATTAGCTAGTAGACACGTGCAAAGTTTCAGAAACGGGCGTGGTGAGGGGCTCAGTAGCGCCACCTTTAGTCAAAAATGGGGTATTAGTTTTACCTACAGTAACAAAAATCGGTATGTATATTCGTCTCCTCGAGCCGGACAACTTTCTAATTGACAGTCATTAGCTCCGAACAACACAAAGTCAGATATTTTGGTTTGAATGTGATTTTCAGGAGAATTTTCTCCCTCCCTCTCCCTCTGTCTCTGTGTGTGGGGGGTTTGGGGAATTTGACTATTATTTTAATGGTGTTCAAGGTTTCAGGGGCTTTTGGGGCCCTTAACGTGCTTGAAAACTCTTGAAACTTTGCACACAGGTCAGAGCCCACGGCCATCAGGGCCGGGCTGAAGCTGGTACCCGGGCGTGGCAGGGGGGCTCAACAGCGCCCCCTTGAATGGGGTCCCCAAAACTTGGTCCATAGATCAAACACGCTTGCATGAATTAATATGAAACTCAGTACACTTATAGATCTCATCGGACCGAACAACTTACCCTCGGTCAAGTTTTACGCCAGCCCAACAGGAAGTCGGCTATTATGGGTTGTTTGGAGAACGCTTGCTCAGGAATTTGAAGTACTTCTCCTAGAGATTGCATCCGTTTACTGCCAAACTCGGTCAGCTTGAGGTCAACACATTGAAGATGCTAAATTGCGGACGGATTTTTGATATCTCGAACGGTTTGGCCGTGGCGAGGAAACGAATTTATGGCGAGAAAAGAGAAACACGAAGTGTTATAACTTCTGCATACATTAACTGATCTTGATGAAATTTCAGCAGTGTGTTCGTGGTAAGAGGCCAATCAGATGGATGTAACTATTGTGAGTCAAAGTTATAGCGCCACCAACTGGCAGCAGGAAGTGTGTCACTTTCAAAATGCTTTTGACAAAAGTGGGGGGGTTAGTTTTATCTACAGTAACAAAACTCGATATGTATATTGTACTCTTCGAGCCGGACAACTTTCTAATTTACCGTAATTAGCTCAGACCAAGAGGAAGTCAGATATTTTGGTTTGAATGTGGATTTCAGATTCTGAGTTTTTAGCTACTCCTCCTAAGTAGTTTATTTTATTCATGCCAAACTTTTTCAACATGATGAAAATACATTGAAGATGCTAAATTGTGAACAGATATTGAATATCTCAAACTATGAGGTTTTGCTATGGTTGAGGGATTCAAGTAATGTCAAAAAAAGAATCAGGGCATGTCTCATATCTTTCTAAAATGTAATTATACACCATTTATTTTTATATAAACTTATACAAATATTAGAACTAAACCCATTTTATTCATTTTTTTCAATTTAAGAATTATTTTTAAGTTTAAAAACAGCCAGAATGGTTGTTTAGTCAAAAATAATAATAATCCAAATCATATATAGTGCTATACTGCCCTCTTGTGTTCAAAATCAGGTAGGCCTATTGAATTTATATATATTTATATATTAGGGATGTTACTATGGGAATAATCTCCCAGCGGTTAATCAACGTGTGATTGTGTAAACCAATTGTGTAAACCTCCCGCTGGGGGGTTTAAAAACACTAACTTGAAAGCGAAAGTATAATATGGACGTCCGCACGGACATTGATAATGGTGACGCTCGCAGAGCGCTCGAATGAATTCCTATGGAAGTAGAAATTAACTAAACGTTCGCTCTGTTCTGCTCGCTCGTCGCCATGGACGCGCACCGTTATGAATGCCAGTGCAGCCGCATACTTTTTAAGTGTCACTAAAATTAGTGCAATTTCGGGGACCGATTGCTTGAATTGTGAGTTCAATAGTCTATTATTTTTCACGGAAAACACAACAATAAAAGAGTACAATGACAGATTCGCTTAAATAGGCGCTTTTACATAAAATAGCCTATTCCGTCATCATCTTTTCAGTCAGCTCTTCACTCTCGTGATTAATGAAATTTGACTCCTGTTGCTGATCTTTGCTGCAACTTTCGTTCAGCTCACAATTTAGTAAGCAAACACGTTTCAAATGTGTTTTTATTTTATTTTTGTGTATGTGTGTATATGTATGTATATATATAGATAAAGCTTATGTTTCAAATATGAGTTAATTAACAATCGTTGGAAAGAATTATATTTTTAAACATTACACTAAACCGTCATTAGGTGTCGCCAGGCGACCGTCTTAATGAGCGAGTCATTGATTCATTCGTTTGAACGACTGAGTCATTCATGAATGAGACAGATGTTTATGGATTGATTGGTCATTGAATCTTTGAGTCAACCGATTCGTTCAAAATGCTGAATCATTCAGTAATGAGAACGCGATGCTGTGAGATGTGTGATGGTTCTGCTGTGATCTTTGTTTAACTATTTTCGCTGCTGAAACAGAAAAAAAGTCAATATTGCATCTAAAATGTAAGTGATTTGGCTTGTGTGTGTGTGTGTGTGTGTGTGTGTGTGTGTGTGTGTGTGTGTGTGTGTATGATTGTGTCTGTTACAGTGATTGTTTAACCCTTGTTAAAGTTTAGGCCTTGTCTTTTTGGATATATATCTTTTTAAATAAAAAAATAGGCATACAACCCATATATTTTAAATGTATTGTTTGCTTTAAATTACATTAAGATTTGTATGTTTGGTAATTGAACCTGAATGAATTTTAAATGAATGTGCTATATGTCAGAGTTTTCCTTAAAATTTGAACTAACACTAACTTTATTCTCATCTGAATGATAGATTATTTATTTCTGTATAAAATAAAAAAGAGATTTTGGTTGGGTGACAGTTGTAGTTTACAGTTTGACAAAAGCACAATGTTGTGTTTTATTGCGATTGTTCACAAATATAAGTAAACACTTTACAGTTTGAATAATGTCCTGTATGAACAAAAGGACGGAGTATGTTTTTATGTCTACATTGTTCAATCACGTTTCACACACACACACACACACACACACACACACACACACACACACACACACACACACACACACACACACACACACACACACACACACACACACACAAACTTTTTTTCTAATCAGATCAGGCAAGTAACATTCTGTCTTGGCACAATTGATTTAACTTTCATAACTTACTTATTTCATGTGTCCATTAAGTCCATGAGACCGTAGGGTGTCTCATTTTTCATTTTAGGTTTCAGAAGGTTGCTCACGCATATGATATGTGCCCTCAATGCACACTTTTGCAGAGCCCACACCAATGCAAGCTCTACAGCACACATCTTCTCAACAGTCAAAGCGGGGTTAAGTTATTACCCGTCATGCACAGTAACCCTTAAGGCACCAGGGTGGCGGTGCCACCGGCTTGTTTATATATATATATATATATATATATATATATATATATATATATATATATATATATATATATATATATATATATATATATATATATATATATATATATATATATATATATATATATATATATATATATATAAATATAGCTGGAGCAGCGATGAAGGGCCAAAGCCGGCGGCACCGCCACTCCGGTGCCTTTAGGTTACTAAAGGCACCGGGGTTGCGGTGCCACCGGCTTGGGCCCGTAATCGCTGCTCGCAGCTATATTTGAAATTGTACTTGTTATTATCTGAGCTTTTTTTTTTTTTTAATTGTAGCAACTGTGAGTTCAATATATCACTATGATTAATACTTATTATGATATTTGTGGGTCATCCTAGCTGGTTGGTTTTATCACATTTGACCAAAAATCCAACTGTGGAAAAAAATAGCAAACAGATTACAACAGTATTGTATTGTAATAATGACTGAGTATGTCATAATTATTTTTGCCATATTTATTAGGTAGTATCTCATAATTTCCACTTTTATGTTCAATTCACATTTCTATGAACATTTATTTGTATAGTACTTTTCACAATACACATCGTTTCAAAGCAGCTTTACAGAAAATGCACGTGTCTACATTAGAGTGATCTGTTATCAGAGCTGACTGTCAAAATAATGTCCACATGTCAGAAATGTAGAGTTCTGATAATACAAATCATGCAGTTATAGCTAACATCATGTATTCATTTTAGGCAGAAACAGCTTTACAGAAATTATTACAAGTTGTGATAATAATGATTAGGCATAACATAGAACATTTGGCAGTTGTGTATGTTGATTCAGAATCGGCATCATCTGACTTTTTATCATAAATATGATTTATCAAAGCATGTTTTATTTTTCTTATGTGGAGGATTTTGACGTTATTTACTAGCCTTTGTCCTGTCACTCCCGTACACTAGGTGGCAGTAAGTATCGGAAGATTAAGCTTAAATACACGGCGAATGACAAGCTAGCATGGCGTCCTCCTCATACTATCAGGAGATGCAGGAGGTTTTCAGGAATAACAATAAAAGCAGAGAGTTCCCGGCTCACAGTGCTAAAGTGCATTCGGTTGCCTGGAGCTGTGATGGGAAACGTCTGGCGTCCGGATCATTTGACAAAACCGCCAGCGTGTTTGTCCTGGAAAAAGACCGGCTGGTGAGGTTTATCATCTCCATCATCTGCAATGCACCACCCTGAATTACACAAGTGACTCACACATGTTGATTATTGTTATTATTGGTATTGGTATTTAAACGTCGTTTCAGCAGTTCTTGAACAGTTCTCAAATCCATGAATCCTCCATCGTTTCTGTTATTTTAATTAGCCTTTTTTTAAAGGGATAGCTGCTAGTTCACCGAAAAATGAAAATTCTGTCATCATTTACTCACAATCATGTCATTCTAAACCTGTAAGACTTTCGATCATCTTCGGAACACAAATGAAGCTCCTTTTGGTGAAATCTGAGAGATTTCTGTCCCTCCATTGACAGCTTAAATTAACGTTACACAACTAACGTTGTTACTTTGACGCCTCAAAAAGTTCATAAAGTGATCTTAAAACTAATCCATGTGAATTGTGCGCTTTTGTCCAAATTTTCTAGAGACTCGATCGCATGATGAACAGATTGAATTAAGGCTTTTATTCACATAAACATTGATTAGCGAACATAAACAGAAGCTCAACCAAACCCGCTTGACGCTCGAGATCAAACCTCAGAATTTCAGAAAGCTCTCAGATTTCATAAAAAAAACTTTATTTATCTCCTGAAGATGAACGAAAGTCTTACTGATTTGCAATGACATTATGGTGAGTAAGAGCTGACAGAATTTTCATTTTTGGTAATAAAAAAAAAGTAAAAAGTATTACCTTTTAAGTAATAGGCCTGTACGTGACAACTAACTACTTTCATTTAGGTAGCATTTAGGTTATCTGTGTTGTTTACGATGACAATTTATTTGATTAAACATGAATTTGCTCACCCATGAATCTATATTACATGTATCAGGTGAAGGAAAACAATTACAGAGGACATGGAGACAGTGTGGATCAGCTGTGCTGGCATCCCACAAACCCTGATCTGTTCGTCACTGCATCCGGAGACAAGACCATCCGCATCTGGGACGTACGGACCACCAAATGCATGGCCACAGTCAGCACGAAAGGTGAACCTCTAAACCTTATCTCTGTCCCATCTTTCATGAGATGTTTATTTATCTGTGAGATATTGTCTGACAACTTTCAGGGGAGAATATCAACATATGTTGGAGTCCTGATGGTCAGACAATTGCTGTAGGCAACAAGGATGATGTTGTAACTTTCATTGATGCCAAGACACACCGTGCTCGTGGTGAGGAACAGTTCAAGTTTGAGGTCAATGAGATCTCCTGGAATAATGACAACGACATGTTCTTCCTGACCAACGGCAATGGCTGTATCAACATATTAAGGTATGTTTATCTGTAGTTCTCTTAAGAGAATACTCTCATGTTGCGTAAGCTAGCTTACGCTACGGGAAAATCCTTTTTCTCGAGAATACTGAAGCCAAAAATTAACCTTTAATTTTTAATTTATTTAAAATGCATTGTTGCACAGAGCAGACCTAGGCGAGGCAACTCGCGCGCCTATTGGTTGCTCTGCGGCAAATGCTGCAACCTATCAGTGGACTGATCATGACGTAAGCACCAATGAGGGCGCGGGCGCCCTTGCGTGTAATGTCCCGCCGAAATAGGCGTGGCTTATCCCTATATCAGGCGTGGCTTATCCCTATATAAGCTGAGTCCAGATAGGGTGTTCCTTGATTTTTCATCTCTTTAGCGAAGTGTCCTCTTCACATCGCTGACTCTCCAGAGAAGCCGCGCCGTCGAACAGCATCTTCAGCGGGACGAGCCCTCTGCACTGCAGTTCGGAAGCCACCATCGCCCCTTCGCCGCCGTTCCTGCTGCGCTATCCGGCGCCTATATTCTTTTACTGCTTCCTCTAAAAGAGCTCGAGGCGTTGTTTCAAATGCCTCGTTTTTCTAAGTGCTGCTCTTGCCGAGCCCCCCTCAGCGACAGGGACCGCCACATTCTGTGCGTTTCCTGCCTGGGGAAGAACCACGCGGACCACGCACTTTCCGTCGGCGGCTACCCAAAATACTACTGCATGGCTGTGTCGACCCTGCGGGCTCAACTCGCCATTTTCAACGCGGATCCTACAACTCCGCATCTCCGTTGTGAATGGCGCAAACGACAAAGGCTACCTCACCATTCCTCAGGTCGAGGAAACGGTGGCCACTCATCTGTGCCCGCCATTTACTGGATGGCAGTTGAAGCCAGCGTTGCCTTCTAAGCCCTGCAGGACCACTTCGGCTCTCATCGGTCGGGCTTACACCGCCGCCGGTCAAGCCGCTTCAGCACTCCACTTCATGGCTGTACTGCAGATTTACCAGGCCAACCTTCTCCGTACAATGGACGAGGTGGGCCCGAACCCTGAAAGCTTCAGGGACCTGAGGCGTGCGACGGACTTAGCTCTGCGAGCCACCAAGTCCACTGCGCAGGCCATCGGTCGGAATATGGCATCCCCCACCGTGACTGAGAGACACTTGTGGCTGACGCTATCCGACATGAAGGAGTCTGACAGAGCCACGTTTCTCGACGCGCCTGTGTCTCCTGCCGGCCTCTTCGGTCCAGCGGTTAAAGGCTTCACTGAGCGTTTCACGGAGGTGCAGAAAACGTCGCAGGCCATGCGACATTTTATTCCAAGATGCTCTAGTTCCGTGACAGGTCGCTCAAAGCAGCAGCCGCCTGCAGGGAACTCAGCACCACCGCCTCCTCAGCCGCCAGCCCCACAGTGCCGTCGTCCTGCGGACTCCCGACAGTGCTCGCGCTCTTCCAGCCGTCACGGGCTGCCTGACCACCCGGGGACCCCAACCCAAGATCGTGCTGAAACCTGAGCCCTCAAAGTCTTCCTGACCACGCTGAGAAGACGAAGATGGTCAAGTCCCGCTGCAGCCGGACCGCCATTGAAAACAGCACGGACCGCCATTGAAAACAGCACGCATCGCTCTCGCAGCTCCCTCAACAGAGGTGGCTGGAGCAGTGTATTTCACAGCCAATCACACGACCTGTCACACGACCCGTTTGCCTGTACCCAAAGGCCGTTTTCACGGCTACCCAGATAGATCTCAAAGAGAGCATTATGTCTGTGTTTCCGGCTCACGCCGAAAGGTGTCTTATGTTGGAAAAGTGCCCACTTCCCAGTGCCCACCCCTACACACAAGCACAGCCCGTTCAGTGACACTCACTCATACAAGGCCCACATCAATAAAGCCGGCTCACGCCGCCTGTGTTTTAAATGTAGTAAATGTGCCCACTGTTCAGTGCTCACCCCTACACATAAACACTGTTTGCCCCGCCACACACACTCACTCAAGGCTAATGATCACAGAGTGTGTTCTGTGTGCAGAGAGTGTGCGCACTTCTGCTACAAAAAGGGGCTGTAGAAACTGTCCCTCTGACACAGAGCCAGTCAGGTTTCTACAGCAGGTATTTCCTTGTACCCAAAAAGGATGGCGGTCTCAGACCCATCCTAGATCTTAGGCGCTTGAACAAAGCACTGATGAAGAGATCGTTCAAAATCCTCACGACCAGACAAATCCTCGCGCAAATTCGCCCGAGGGACTGGTTTATCTCACTAGATCTGAAAGACGCTCATTTTCAGATTCAAATAATACCCCGCCACAGGCCTTTCTTGCAATTCACCTTCGAGGGTCAGAGTTATCAGTACACCGTCCTGCCGTTCGGCCTGTCTTTAGCACCCCGTACTTTCACGAAGTGCATGGATGCGGTGCTCGCTCCCCTTAGACTTCAGGGGATGCGCATACTGAACTATTTGGACGACTGGCTTATTCTAGCCCAGTCAGAAACAGAACTGATAACGCACAGGGCCTTACCAGTGATGGGAATAACGGCGTTATAAATAAACGGCGTTACTAACGGCGTTATCTTTTTCAGTAACGAGTAATCAAACGAATTACTGTTTCCCCCGTTACAACGCAGTTACCGTTACTGACAAAAAAAAATGTGGCGTTACTATAATTGAACTCACTGAAGCGGTTTTCATCCGAGTAGGCTCTCTCTCCGCCATAGGACCTGCAAAGTTTTTTTCTCTGGTGTGTGTGTGTGTTTATGAGGCGCCGGAGTGGACAAAAGCGAAGCGAACGGCGCGAGCGCGCTCAATGCGCGAGAGAGACCGAATGTGTCCGAGAGCGCGCTCAACAGTTGCGCAAGAGAGACTGAGGGTGTCCGAGCATTATATAGTTTGTTTATAAATAAATGACACGCATCTGCAACGTTAATTAATTTACATGGTTATACAAATAAAATCTAAAAAATTACCGTCAGGGAACGTTCTGTTTAGGTTATAAAATAAACCCGAAAATAACCTGCAGGGAACATTCACAGAAAACATCTTTGTTTGACCGGTTGTAAACACGTGCGGCAAACATGTCTAGAATTTGGCTTAAATAACCTCTGATGATGACGTTCGCTAGGTTATAAAAATAAACCCCCAAAATATTATATTTTAGTATTATTATTTTTTTTGTGGTAATTGTTCAGTATTATATTGAGAGAGCACTTGTTAAACTGTTTACTTTTGTTAGGAAGAAAATACTTAGGCTACAGTAGCCTATGTCTACTAGTTGTGAAGTTGTGTAACAGTTTTATCATTTTAATATGCACAAAGAGATGTATATTTTTTATTATTATTTATTTATTTTTGGTACATTTCTTAAGAAGCATAATTTATTTTTAAACTTATTTGTTGGCCAGTTGGGGTCTGTGCGATATTAAGTATAAACCATCTATAATGTTTTATTGTTCTACCATAGTAATGCTAATATTTAGAATAATATATTGAATTTAATAGGCGTCTCTCACATTGTCCCACAGCAACATTAAAATAGAATCAATTATTATTATAAAACATTGAACACTAATCTACACTATTAAGTGTCCATTTCATTAATTTAACATATTTAATACTGGGGGCATCCAAATTATTTGACATAGGCCTTTTTGAAATTTTTTTTTTTTAAAGTAACGCAATAGTTACTTTCTCTGGTAATTAGTTACTTTTATAATGATGTAACTCAGTTACTAACTCAGTTACTATTTGTGAGAAGTAACTAGTAACTATAACTAATTACTTTTTTTAAGTAACATGCTCAACACTGGGCCTTACTGCTCAACCATTTGTGAGATTTAGGTCTCCAAGTCAACTGGACCAAGAGCTCGCTGTCTCCCAGACAGAAAATTTCCTTTCTGGGGACAGATTTAGACTCCGTGTCCATGACACCACGGCTGATGTCACAGCGCGCGCTACAGATACAGTGCTCAGCGGCGTCCTTCAAAGCTAGTAGTGTTTTCCCTCTCAGAAATTATCAGAGGATGCTAGGTCTTATGGCCTCAGCCTCGGCAGTGCTTCGGTTGGGTCTGCTTTGCATGCGTCCTCTCTAGCGCTGGCTGAAAACACGAGTCCCGCCTCGAGTATGGACTTCCGGTCGTTTTCGCCTCAGGGTAACCCAGAACTGTGTCACAGCACTGGGACCCTGGAATGCGTCAGACTGGTACCAGTCAGGTATCGGTCTGGGAACGATCTCATCACGAAAAACTCTCTCGACAGACGCTTCCAACTCAGGTTGGGGCGCCCTCTACAAGGGCAGACCAGCCTTCGGGCCGCTGGGCAGCCCAGGAGAGGCATTTACACACAAACTGTCTAGAGATGATAGCGGTCGTGAACGCTTTGGGGTATTTTCTCCCTTTCTTAAAGGGCCATGATGTCCTAGTCCGAACGGACAACATGGCGGTAGTGTCCTACATAAATCGCCAGGGCGGTCTCAGATCAGGGCGCCTTCATGCTCTGGCAGAACGCCTCCTGGTATGGTCCCAGCACAATCTGCGCTCACTCACAGCGACGCACGTGCCGGGCCACCAGAATGTGGGCCCGGACAGGCTGTCCAGATCAAGCGAATCAGGGAAAGCAAGTCCTCCTTGCTCCTCGTGGCGCCGTTCTGGAGGAACCATGCTTGGTTTCCGGAACTGATGCAGCTCACGAGCACACCTCCATGGCCGATTCCATTGAGAAAGGATGTCCTCTCTCAGGCCGGGGGTGCAATTTGGCACCCACACCCCGACATATGGGCACTGCACGTGTGGACTGTCAACGGATACCCGCTGACCTCCCAGTCGGAGTGTTGAGTACAATTACACAAGCGAGAGCGCCCTCTACTAGATGGCTCTATGCTTCTAAGTGGTCTGTGTTTTCTGGCTGGTGTGCAGCCGGAAACCTAGACCCGCAACGCTGTGGTGTTACGGAAATTCTTTCCTTCCTTCAAGAGCTTCTGGACGAGGGCAGGTCCTCCTCCACACTCAAAGTATATGTTGCAGCCATAGCAGCGTTCACAGAACCTCTGCATGGCCAGTCACTGGAAAGCAACGATCTTATCATCTGTTTCCTTAGGGGAGCTAGGAGACTAAACCCAGCCTGGGACCTTTCCACAGTCCTAGAGGCTATGAAGAGTGACCCTTTCGAGCCACTGCAGTCAGTGGACTTACGGTGTCTCTCTTTCAAAACCATTTTTCTCATGGCTCTCGCTTCAGTCAAGCGAGTGGGTGATTCATGGAATTTGGGCCTAATGACTCTAAAGTTATGCTCAAACCAAGACACGGATATGTCCCCAAAGTGCTATCCGTTCAGAGCGCAAGTCATTTCTCTGTCAGCCCTTCTGGGAACTGACGGTGAGAACAACGTAAATCTCCTTTGCCTGGTCAGGGCGTTACGGATTTATGTTCAACGTTCTGCTGCTTTCAGGCAGTCAGAACAGCTTTTTGTGTCGTTCGGTGGCCGCACTAAGGGGCTAGCTACCTCGAAACAGAGCATTTTCAGATGGATAGTTGATGGTATTGATTTGGCTTATAAGTCTAAAGGCCTTCAATGCCCTTTAGGCGTTAGACCCCATTCCACTAGAAACATGGCCTCTTCCTGGGCCTGGACTAGTAGTGTTTCACTACAAGATATTTGTAGAGCGGCAGGCTGGGCCTCTCCGTCTATATTTATAAGGTTTTACAACCTGGAGGTTCCTGCCTTACAGGCTAAACTATTCTCAGTCTAAGGCCATTTTTTGTCTGGCGAACTGGTTAAGTTCTGCTTTTACACAGCTCAGTCTGACTTTCGTCCTTGCTGACTGTTATATTGTGTTAAGCACTCATCTTTGTATATATGATGTGTCACACTCCCCATATATGGTCATCATGAACCTTCAGGCCAGCTCTTGTCGGCCCGGATATCTTTCACTATTATGTGCTCCCCGGGCACTTGCCCTTGGGGCTATGTGTGGATGATCTCAGCACGCATGGCGCTTTAAACTGGGTTCCCGTAGCGTAAGCTAGCTTACGCAACACAAGAGTACTTTCGTAAGAGAACGACACTCGGTTACCAACGTAACCTCGGTTCTCTCTAGAAGAGGGAACGAGTGTTGCGTAACCCCGCCGTGCTAGTGCTGCGTTCTGGTTTGCTTCAGTATGAAAAACCAAGGAACACCCTATCTGGACTCGGCTTATATAGGGATAAGCCACGCCTATTTCGGCGGGACATGATGCGCAAGGGCGCCCGCGCCCTCATTGGTGCTTACGTCATGATCAGTCCACTGATAGGTTGCAGCATTTGCCGCAGAGCAACCAATAGGCGCGCGAGTTGCCTCGCCTAGGTCTGCTCTGTGCAAAACTGCGTTTTAAATAAATGAAAAATTAAAGGATAATTTTTGGCTTCAGTATTCTCGAGAAAAGGGATTTTCCCGTAGTGTAAGCTAGCTTACGCAACACTCGTTCCCTCTTCTAGAGAGAACCGAGGTTACGTTAGTAACAGAGTGTCGTTTTACTAATAGGCTGTATTGTACTAATGGCGATTTTAGTAAATGGGAAATCAAACGTCATGTTTCTCTCTCTTTTTCAGCTACCCTGAACTGAAGCTCATACAGTCAATTAATGCCCATCCGTCCAACTGCATCTGCATTAAATTTGATCCCACTGGCAAGTATTTTGCCACCGGAAGTGCAGATGCCCTGGTCAGCCTGTGGGATGTGGAGGAGCTGGTGTGTGTTCGCTGCTTCTCCAGGTCAGCTCATCAGAATTTAGATTTTTTTTCTTTTCTCATAAATGTGACTGCTTATCATAATTTGGACTGTCATAATTGTGACTTTTTATCTCATAATTTTCAGTTTTTTCCCCCTCATAATTTTTACTTAGTATCTCATTATTATTTTTTCCTCCAGGTCAGTTAACTAAAACTATTAAAAACAGTTGTTAATTGAAATGAATCTGAAACAAAATAAATTTTAGATCAACTAAAAATTAATAAAATAAGTTGAAGTGCTACTTAAATAGAAATATAATGCAAAACTAACAAAATGCCTATAACAAAATTACTTAAAATGGAAATGAATACATAAAATATTTAAATAAAAGATAATTCAAATAATTATTAAATACTTTATATAAATAATATGTAATAAATAATACACTGAGCTGATGTTATGTTGTATTTACTTTTATTATGGTTACCTATGAACAATAAGAAACTGAAACATGTAAATGATTTAATGCAATTAATCTTGTGATAAAATATATTGTGATTTATTACCTTTTTTCAAATACAAATGTCCCCAAAAGAATACTTTGTCTACATATGTTTTATCTAATAACATAAAGTTCTCAATCTGTTCATTTCACATCTTCATATCCACGTCCATGTTCAATTGTCCCTCCTTGTATTTTAGACGTATTTTTAATTACAGTCAAATAATAATGTTTGCACACTCAATTTAGTATATTTGTTTTTACAATACATATTGTTATAAGCAGTTTTACAAAGAACAATTATTAAACTTTTATTATTATTATTATTATTTCCTGCATAAGCACGGTGCTTACGGTAAAATTATGTATTGTGTTTTGCTACAATATCCCCAAGAAAAATATCACGATACTAAGCTGTATTGATTGTTATTTGTCAGCAGGCAAACACATTGTAATTTGTTTTCTTATATTATAATATAATCTTATATTATATAAAGTCATATTTTCATTCTGAATCCCATAGACTAGACTGGCCTGTGCGGACGCTTAGTTTCAGTCATGATGGTAAAATGCTGGCGTCAGCCTCTGAGGACCATTTCATTGACATCGCTGAAGTAGAGACAGGTGAGCAGATACGTTTTGAAATGATCATGAAAGCTTGAATTGTGTTTTACCAACTTATTCATTTTTGTTGTGGTGTGTCATTGCTGTAGGTGAGAAACTCTGGGAAATTCAGTGCGAGTCTCCAACCTTCACTGTAGCGTGGCATCCAAAGAGACCCCTGCTGGCGTACGCCTGCGACGATAAAGAGGGCAAATACGACAGCAACCGAGAGGCAGGGACAGTCAAGCTCTTTGGACTTCCCAATGACTCTTAAGAACCAGTGTTTTTAGGTTGTTGTTTTTTTTTTTTTTCAGGCCTCATTTGAGGTTTAATGAATAGTTTGTTTGATTGACTTTGTATTAGATTCCAACTTATTTTGAAGCAAAAGCTGTAAATGGATCAAAGATATTGTGATGGTCTGTTCTCATATTACTTGATGAGTTCCTGAATGAACAAGCTCTAAATTACAAGTATAAATAACTACGGCCTGCAGCTCATCTTTAGAACATAAGAATGTTCAACTTTTTCCAAAAAAAATTGCACTGTGCATTTTATCATGTCTGTGTAGAGGACTTGAAAATAATTTGACTTGAAGCACATGTTGTTGTTGTTTCCATGATTGACCATTTTGGGTTAAAAAAAAATTATGGATTTTTTCCCTTAGGAATCTTGACATTCTTTTGTTCAAATGCACATCTCATACCTCCAGTTTTAGAAATGACCAGCAGAGGACATCATAAGCTCAAAGAGGCAAGGCATGGCAATACCCTCTAATACAGGCATTTTTATGTTGTTTTTTTTGTTACAGAAATAAACTTGTATTTTTTAATGAAAATTGTTTCATAAAATATGATTGACTTAAAAGCTATATGATGTTTTGTGTGTATATGATTTTATGGTGAGCAAAAGTCTTCGCTGGAAAACATGCACCATATCTTAATGTGAGAGGGAGAACAAGAAAAAAAACTTAAATGGAAACGTGATCTTTTTTTTTTTATGGACCTCTGCTTGTCAATTCAATTATTAAATATTAAGCTTTAAATATTAAGGCGAGTTAAATATTAAGCCTGTCTCTAATATCACTGCATACTACATGTTAATTGCATTTTCAGGTAAAAAGTGTTTGTAGCTATTTTAGAAGATCAGTGTGGATAGATTTGTCTCCGGAGGCCGTGATTTTGCAAGACGTGGGCTGCGTCCGAAATCGCACTCTCTTGAGTAGATTATTTTGAATAAGTAATTAGTAATTGATTCGTGAGTTCTTAAAAAGTCAGTTATATGTTGTATGAGTGTATGCATGGCTGTAATTAGCATAAACAGTAAAAGAAAGGTAATTAGACGTAGGACTTCGCCATGTTGTCATTATTATCATGTGACCTACAGCGTCAGTTGCTTTTACAGTCTGGTTGCGTCGCCTCATTCATATATTCTCTGGATTTTTTGCCTACTCTCTTAATTTACTTACTGTAAAAAAGAAAGTTGCTTGTTGAAGTCATTTAATTTTAAATTACATTAATGAGCTAAAGTAATGTAAAAACTTGTCATAACTTATTGATCATATAACTTTTTACAGTGTTCTTTTGTCACATACTGTTTTTCGCCCATAGGGAAGTATGCAATTTCGGATGCAGCCAAGCTCCTTTAACCTTTAACAACATCTTTAGTTGATCCTGGAACAACATTCCAGTCCAAAAATATAGTCCCCCTAACCATATACCTATGCCCCTAAACCTAACTACCTATAATGTTTCTCTAAAATCAGAGGGAAATGATACGCGTATAAGATGATGTAGAAGCATCTAACCCTGATTGTAAGCCTAAACTTGACATTAACTGTGAACCTATCCCTCAAATCTGATTGGGTGATTGAAATGTTGTTCCAGGATCAACAAGGATGGTGATCCAAGAACGTGCTTGGTGAAATCCCGTTCTACGCAGTTTGGTGGAGGGCCACTGTGGAGCAAAACAGCAGTAGTCTAGACTTGGAGCAGTGTCCAGTCAGCAGGGAATAGTTTGTCAGTGAGATTAGGCATCATTAATCTTTGTCCATTGTGACAGACTTACACAGCACGCTCGTCCTCCCTGCCCACTTAAAGAGCCACCAGTCTGGCTGGTGGCAGCTGGCCTCACCCTTCTCTGGTGACTCATCTCAGCAGGCTCCAGGGTGGCTCACTTTCTACAGGCGTCCTTCGATTGATGCTTAATTATATTTCGTTTCATTCAGCAGAGGTCATTTCCCTTGTGATGTCCAGTTTCCTGGCTTTGGCCCATCACCATTATTTTCATCCTCTTGTTTGTGGTTGGTGATTTAAATCTTTAGCTTGGAGTTGTTCATTATTTCGGTAACACTTTAGATTAGGGAACACATTAATTATTTACAATTTAAGTTTTCCCTCAATAAAGTCCTAATTATTATTGATAGTAAGTAAGGTAGTTGTTAAGTTTAGGTATGGGGTAGGTTTAGGAAAATGGTCATGCAGAATAAGGCATGAATGTGCTTTATAAGTACAAATGAACAACCAGTAGTATATGCATGCTTATAAGAAACTAGTTAATTGTGAATGTGTTCCCTAAACTGAAGTGTTAGTTCTGGTCTTTGAATTTGAATTTGATTAGATGAGCAACATTGAGTGCCATTATTCAAATCAACATTAATGTAATGTTGATTTTCTTTTTAATGGGAAAAATCTAAATCCATAAAGACTATGAAGACAAAACATTATTTCTTTGTAATTAAAAAAAATATCTTGTTTGTAATTATTTCTCATTTCTTTCTTAAACAGGCCTGAACATTTGCTGGAATTATAAGAGACTTTAATTTTCTGGAAGATGAATGACAACCCCTCTTTTTCATTTGTTTACTTTTTTATTTTTCTCCCCAATTTTATTGGTGGGCCTTGCTTTATTATTAATTTATTTGGACTTATGAATACCATTATTGATATGTTTATCATGTTCAATTAAAAAAAAAAAAAAAACATTACCCAGTAGGTAACAAGAGCATACAAATGTTGTTAAAGAGAGTAGCGCACTGCTGCATTTTAGCACTGTCCAAGGATACAATTTTAGCAGTTTATAATGAGTTCAGTTTACAGAAATTCAATAATAATAAACATTGATCGAACAGTTAATTTATGGGGTTCTAAACTAGAGAATCCTTCTTGGACATAAATTTATTTAACAGTTGTCTAGATGAGCTTCTCTGATCCATTCTATACATAGGCCTACACAACCTATCTAATGACTAAAGATGTTTGGTTCATGTTTTCCTCAAGGGAGGACGATGTTGCAGAACATCTAGTAATTGCTTCATTTTGTTAGAACATTACAATTTTTGATGTAGGTAAAAATGTTAACATTTGCATATTGTATAAGAATGAGTAATAATTTTAATATGGTTATACAATCAGATGATAAGAGTGTTTGCATTTAAATTAACTCAGATGTAATTAGAATAGAAGAATGATCTTGTTAAATGAACAGCTACCAGTGATAAAATAAATGAAATCTCTGATCGAGGGAGAATGAATCTGTCTTAAAATAACTTCAATTTACTGCATTTTGTCAGGACTTGCTGACATGAGGATGATTAATGTGTGTGTTTATTGATATTGTTCATATAGTTTTATTGTGTTTATGATCTATAGTAAGTATGCATTTATTAGCCAAGATGCAGAAAGCCAAATGTTTCTTTTAACTACTAGTCTATGCTTCAGGTAACAGTGGAATTGTGTTCACGTTGTCATATGCCAATAAACACCGCTGGTTAAACACATGCAGAACGCACACAAACACACAAATGAAGAGGTAGAAGTGAAATGCTTTCTGCTTTTCTCTGCTAAAATGACACGACACATTTTCGTATCTCCCCTAATTTCCATTTCAATAGATAGAGCTTCCAAGTCCCTTATGAGACTCTCTCGGTCCCTCAGGTCTTAATGGATTACTTTCTCCACCAGCCATATTATTGGCTTTCGTTACTCTTCCAATTTGTCTTTCAGTCTTTGCTCCAGTAATTTCTGGGGCTTGATGTGAAACAAAACATTTTTGACATGCAATTTATTAGCACACAGTAACCTTTGCTGTTCAACAATTCAGGCTCTCTTAACATTTTTTTTTTTTTTTTTTTTTTTTTTTTTTTTTTACAGCTTTTGAATTAATCAAATTTGCAATTCACATGCAGGTGCAATATTTTATGCTTAGACACTTTCCTGCACTATTTCTGCTCAAATATTCAGATTGAACTACATTTCTTAATATCAGGATGTTTCTTGTTTCTTTTAAATATGTGCAAAGTTTAACTATTGGCAAGCCTAACCAGTGTTGGGTAAGTTATTCCCCCCAAAATAATGAATTACTAGCTACTAATTACATTTTCAACTGTAATTAGATTACTGTACTACATTACATTACTTATTACTAATTACTTTCTAAATCCAATAGGGACAATCATATGAAGTAACAAACACAAAACCTGTCATCAGAGTCTAATAGGAGCATGATATATATATATAAACGTGAGTGGGTTTTGGTGAGCAAGTCCCACGTCAGCATTTGCTCATGAAATTCAGTCATAACCTTGCCCAATACATTTCAGGAAATCAGTGGGAGTTTTAAGGCAAAGATATGAGACGTCCATCCACTAGCACTCCCCTTTTTTTTTAGTGCTAGACAGACTACAGTCTTGTTAGCTCTTTATTTAAATTCACAAAAACATTAAAACAATTTATGAGGCATTTTGATTTGACATTTCCAAAAATTCATTTAGGTTTATTAATGTAACAGATTTACAGATTTGGTTTGACAGATGTTTATTACAAAACATGCAATAAGAAACTGATTCTATATATTCTCCACACTCATACCGTGGTTCAAAACCTCAGATGATTGAATGCTTCTCAACAAACTTTTTTTTCTGATAGCCTTTCAATTTTATCATTCACATATGACAGGCATTTATGTGATGACAGGCGGTCGAAACAAGTCTGTTACACAGTAAAGCAAACTTATGCATGAAAATAAATGGTATTGCTTGATGCAGACAGCTTACACGACTATATGAGTTTGAAACATGAAAGCCTGTTCAGATTGGAAGTATTAATTTATTAGCTATAAATATCATCCAGTATTGAGCCTCAGGATGAACAGAAACATAGGGCTATTTTGATGTCTGTGGCACACTTTTGTTTTTCTCCATTGCAGTTTTAAGAAATGTATCATAATCAAATATATTTTTCTGACCAGATGAAGCTGATATTTTGCAGTGCGGTTTAATCTGAGGTTAATTTTGATAGAATAGTTGTTTACTCTGATGCAGTAAACAGTGGACTAAACTAAAGTTACATTTCCATATGTTTGCAGGTGCTTTTAAAGAAATCACATTCTAAAGTTGTTTTAGAAATCAAAGCCTCAAACACACAGCAAATCTGTTTTACTACATACCAGTAATTTACAGGTGTTTAAGAAGCTGAAATGAACTGTTACAAATTAATTCTGACAACAGACAACAGAAACTAGCTCAGTTGAATAGTGCTTTCATTATTTCACCCCAAACAGCCACAAAATGATGGCACAATGTCAAAATCTATATAAATGTCATTTTTATGATTAAGT